AACCTTGAGTTTCCAGGCCTGGCCAACATTCATTGTAATATAACCTTGTCACAGCCCATATGCCGGAGGCCAACTTTGGCCACCCTCAGCCTTCATTAGCATTCAGACAGACAACAGCTGTTACTGCCAAACTCTTGAGGCGATCTGATATATTGGGTCGCTGCTGGAGTGTCTTAGAGATTCCGCCCTTCCTTTCAAATTGATGCACATGATGCAGCTTGGCAATAAACACATTTATTTTGTCCATTGAAACACATCAAGTTTGCCCTGAAACCAGAAAATGCTAAATAAATAGCTTCTTTCCGTTCTTCCATCTTTTTATCTAAACCTATGTTTTTCTTAACCCAACAGTCATGTTTTTGGATTTTGGGATGAAAAGGGAGTACCTGGGGAGAACCCACGAATGCACAGGGAGAACATGCTAACTGTATATATACATTTTAATAGTTAAACTCTCCAAACAAATAGGTATATAGTTGGTGCATTGAACTGGGTGCTAACCATTTGCTCCTACCCGGCACTTGCCTGTTGGCCTCACATGCTGTTATTTCCAAATTATGACTCTTGCTCATACACCTCCACGTTCTTGTAACTTTTGACATTTCTTAACACAAAGACATGTTTGGCCGCTGATGGACTGGTCTAGCATCAGGCTTAGTAAGTCTTCTTGAGGAAACCCTAAAGTTAAGACTGTTTGATTACGTGTCATAAGTAACTCAGTTTTGCATCCTCTACGACAACGACAAAAGGCTTTTGTCGTTGTCAAAACATCAGGTTTTCCATGGCACCCTTAATGTGCCATATAAATAATGCAAAGATGTAAATGACCATTAAAAAAGATTCCTCTGTTAGATTTCTGGTGTCACCCTGCATCTTCTCCCATTTAGTGAAATATAATTATGCATATCTGAAAAAGAATCTGTCAAAGGCCAAGGTTGGCGCTTCAAAAGCAATTATTTGTTTGATTGGGTATCATGTAGCAAAGTAGCTTATATAAATATTTTAGGTTGTATATTGCTTTGATGTGCAGTGCTTAATGTTTTAGGAAAAATATTAAGTATTTTACTTTTTGACAAATGAGTGAAAGTCACAGAACACCTAAGTTAATGTCAAGTTTAAAAATGCTTATTTTTCTAGTAAACAAATGGACCAACATCAATGGTGCATTGAAAATATTTTATTTCTTTTGTGTCAATACATAATTAGACATTTATATTTTTATAGAAATAGTATATATATATATATATATATATATATATATATATATATATATATATATACACACCTTGGGGTGTGAACGATAGCAGAGTCATGCTAGCCCTCATGAACAGGTTTTATCCCATGAACATCAAAATGTCAACACAGACGTTGTGATTGTACATAAAACACAGACTCTGTTATTCTGCTATAAATCCATGCTTCTTGGTTATTTGCTTAAACTGAAAGTACAAATATATGCTGTAAGTAAAAGGCCTCAGTCTTTGCTAAGCTATGTAGGGCCTTGATGGGATTATCCAAAGTTCTTGACATTTGCTTATTCTGTCATCTACAGTGTTGGCATACCTGGGGGAAGGGGGACTTAGCCATCTTGTAGGCCTCAGTTGGTAAACAAAACCATGTAAACTGTAAACTTAAGTTTGACTTAAGGAAACTGGGGTTACTAAGTTTTTGGGGAGTATTATTAGGACTGAAAGGCTCTCGCAGACTGGGCGTACATCACTTTGAGAACGGCCAGGTGTACCGGAAGCGGACAACTGCTGAACACGTCCACGGAAAGGTACAGTTTTATAACTCTATACGTGTACTCGTTGTCGCACAGGAAATTGCAGGAAATGGTGCTCACATCGAACTGTTTTCTATGCGACACCAATCTGACTAGGTTGAGAGTTGGCACAAGCATTTGCAAGGACAAGCATCAGCCAGACTGCCACTTTGTGCCACACTAGAAGGCTAGAAATGAGACTAGGCACCCAATCATCAAACTTGCCAGTATCCATTTGGATTGTGGGAAATGTAGGCATCTGTACGCTCACCTATGAAATCTCAACCGTCAGACGGGTGAACGGAGTCCGCCCGGCTCATAGAGTGCTCACAGTGCGCCAGAGTATGCGGGAGCCTTAGCTGTACTACAGGAACATGAGATTAGTTAAATCACATTGTAGTATGTAACTGTGGGTTTCATACATCCATACAAACATCTCACTTAGGAAAGATGTAACAGAGAGTAAGTCTCCTTGAGCAGTGCAATAATGGACGTAAAGCAGAGCAATGAATTACAATTAGTCCAATACAATTAGACGAGCAGAATGACTTACTTTATCATGCTAATTTCCTTTTCCTGGAATGGTTTCTGTCATTGATTCCCTCGTAGGATGGTACCCTAATATCACGCCAGACATGTTAGCACTCAAACTTCACACAGTGACTGGGTGCAACAATTTCCTTTAACGCTCTGCACCTGTGACAATTCAAATTCAAGAATATTCTTTCCTTTTGAGTTTTGTCTCTCTCTCTCTCTCTCTCTCTCTGCTTTGGTCTCCTCCAGTGTTGAGCTCCATATTTGCACGTTTGACTGCCTGCTCACCTTGAGCAGCTGTTCAGCCACCTCCTGTAGCTTGAGATAGACAGTGACTGAGCAGTCTAGGCCAGACCTGCCTTCTGCCACCTCCTCAAATGGGTCCCTTTGGACTGCAGCCAGCATAGGGAATGGGGTTGGTGGATGAGCGCAGTGTTTAAGCGCGTGTGTGTGTTTGTGTGCTTGGGTTAGACCGGTACAGGAAATGTACCGCTTCAGGCTCAATAGCATTACAGTCACCAGGCACGTTTGTGCTTTTATCACCCTCTACGTCAGATTGATTGTGGCACCCGGAAAGGTCATTCGATGTGGGTGTTAAGAACGTGTCTCCTGAGATAGATCAAGAAACAAAATGAAAAAATTATCGTCGGCACGCGAATGAAGTTCTTCAGCTTCCTGCACGCACTTGACATCCAAGGTCAGGACTTTCTATGAAGCTATCCAGGCTGGCCAGTCCATCTTAGTTAGCTCAGATTAAAATATATATCTTTGTAGATATGTTCGGCCCAAATTTTGGCTAAACAAAGGTACAGAGAGTCAGACGTGGTTGGGCTATTGAATTATCTCATCTATCTCTAAGCCAAAGTTATTTTAACATCAACAAAAGTATTTATGTAAAAAGTTTTCTTATCTCTCACTTTTTAACCACAATGTCCTGTTGTTTAGACAGAGTTAACCTTAATGGCCCAATAAGTCAAGTTCCTTCCTTTATTTGCTCAAATTGAATTAATCTTAACCAATCTGTAGTAACGAGTCCAACAGGGGATGTTTATTCTTTATGTACAATGTAGTACGATCATTTATCAAATTATCAATGAGTATAAACAAAAGAGATGGCAATTTGGGATATGCTCAAAGGCAGAGGTGCCTTTTATGATAACCTGTATCAAGTCACACATGTATCTAAATGTAAAAACATGTTTGTTTTAATATACATCTGAATGCATAAAACATGTTAGCTATTACTTCCAGCTGGGTTTGGGTCAGGGAATGAGAGAATGGAACTAAACTCTTTACGTTCTGTCTATAAGAGCGGTCAAAAATCCAGGCAGAAACACACCAGGACCTAAAAAACCTACAACTATAAAGTTTTATGTTGTGTTATCAGTCCCTACCAGATAGATCAATATAACTCCCTCATTTATATGATATTCATTAGCACATTTAAGCTTCTGATCAATATGCTAAACTGACTAAGAAGCGCTTGTGCCGACTGGGTTCTTAAGAGCTATGTGGGTCAAAACGGGGATTCAACAAACCTGGAAGCTGTTTGTTTAAATGGTTTGAGGATTTAAACACTTTGATTTAGAAAGTAGAGAGTACCTGGCAAAATTATTTACACTTTTGTCATGCTACTACGACCACAAACTGCAATGTATTTTCTTGGGATGTTATGAGATTTTGATCAAAATCAACACAAGGTGAAGTGCAAGGTAACCATTCAACTCTCTTTACCCTGATGTCTCTGAATAAAATCCAGCAGGTTCATTCAGTTGGAAAAAAACAAAACAAAAAACATCCATCCCTCCTCCAGTTCTCCACTTCACACACAATTGCATGTTGAAAGCAGGGCAGTGAACAAAAAAAAACAGAAAGAGGAAGCAGGGTGGGCAGTTTAAAAATATCTCCAGATTTGCTGAGTGGAGACTTTCCTCTGGCTTTCATCTGCGTCACCTGTACAGACGGAGCAACAACAATGGCTTTAAATCTTCACAGGTTCTTACATGGCTACCTCTGACTCTGACCCCTGACCTGTGGGGGCTTTGCCTTGGATAAACCTCGACATCCATCGCCCCCTTTGACTCGTTTATCTGTTGTGGCTTAAATCTGCCGTGACGGCCGCAGCGTCCCACTTCTGTCATCTCCTGAAGAAGCGCACGCTTCAACCATTACGAATCTGAATATTTACGTCGTGCAACGGTGAAAAAGTGGTTATTTTTTGCAACGCTATAAGCATTTTATGTGGATGTGGTGGCAAAGATGGGTGCTGTCGATTGATTGAAAAATAGCGCTGTGTGATTAATCACTGCTTAAATGTGTAAGCTCGAAATATAAAAATATTTAAGAAAATGTTTTATTTTTTATTTTTTTACAGGTTTTCATATTCAAGAAGGTTCAAAAGAAGCCATTTTGTTTCAAACATCATTTAAAATATTAACTAGACACCGGTTGTGCCTCAGTGGAAGGATACTTTGTCATTGCAGCAAGCAGGCTACACACTAGCTTGGTTTTGCGCAAACGTCCATCATGGTGTTTCTCATTTAAGACGTTTTGTTGCACTTGCGGCTTGTGTCTGACAGTAATCTGGCAGGAAGGCGGCAGATTAATGTCGTCAAAGAAACCGAAGATGGGAGTCGAACCTGAGACGAGGTCTATAAACTCTCTGCTTGTGAGGCGCCTGTTCCTAACCAGTGTTTTTTTTTAAAAAAGAAAAATTTGTGGCTGAGCACACCAGTCTGACTCTCCTTGCTCATCTTTTCACTCATGTTTCTGACTTTGCATTGTTGACTGTTGACCGCAGTACAAGACAGTGTGACGCGCTTATTTTGAACTAAGTATCCCTCTGCCGGAGAGAGGCTTTTAGGTCAAAATAGGTAGTGCGATTAATCGGCACATTAAACTTTTGATTAATCCCATGTGATAGGTCTAGTAGAATCTCAAACATTTTCGCGAAGGAAAGTCACTCAAAGTAATGCTAAACAGGCGCGCGCTTATGAGTAGTGAAAAACGGTCAATTCGGTTTTTATCCTCCATTGTTCCTCACTTGTTACCTGGTGAAGTGGCTGTTCCAGCCAGTCCAGGACGCCGAGGTGATAAACAAGTGGAGGAGCGAGGGGTAGGCGGCGGGCCGGGGCCCCAACAAGAGGGCGAAGAGCTCATGCTGAGCGGGAGACGGCAGCAGCTAACCTCGGAGAGTGGATGTAATGAGAATCAGGGCTGTGAGAGGGGAGAAACAAGAGAGGGGGGGAGAGCGGCGCGATGGATTCAGAATGAGGGTAATATCATAAATGAAAGAATGAAGGAGGACGAGGACAGGAGATGGTTGTTGGGAGGGGCCGATGACGGTGGCAGGATAAGACGGCGTCGCCACAAAATGGCTGCTTTTCTCCCAGCGTAAGATGGCATTAAAATCCAGCCTGAATGTGTGAATGAATAAATCTGCACTGATGATTAGAGGACATCTCAACCTGCAGAGCACTGAGCCATGAACTCATTATCTCTAATAGAAAGAACCTCCGCTGACTTTAGTCTGGAGGTGTTTTTCTAACCATCTTTCAGAGTGAAGCCGGTGTTGTGCAGACAAAGCAGCTTAACCCAACAGGAAGCAAAGGAGAAGATAATGAAGGTTTATCTTTAGCTGAGGAACTCTGTGGAAGTCCTTTGCTCATTTCTATGAAGGTGTTGATGGAGTTCCAACCAATTCAGTGTGAAGGTCAAACTTTCTCAAGAACTTGCAAGGGTTTCAAAAATTTAGTAGGTCTTTTTTTTGATAATATTCTTATTTTCGCTTCAGAGAATTGAACTATTCCTACATTTTGTCGAAAACAGAGTCCTCTCTTGGCCCCAAATTTGTTAACAACCATAATAAGGATGTAGCTTAATTTTCTTTTTATTGCTTTAATCAATGCAGTTCTTCGACAGTTGGCTTTGGATGTTTTTACTCCTCTGACCGTCACTCTGACTGGGCCTGGCTCTCAACCTCAGCTTGAATTCATCCCAAAAGGCGTTCCTATGAGCTGAGGCCAGAGCAACATGGAGGCCGGTCGACTTCCTTCACACAAAACTCCTTCATGCCCATCTTTATGGACGTTGCTTTGTGCAGTGGAGCACGGTTAATTTGGAACAAGAGGCCCTCCTAAAACTCTTCCTGCAAGGTTGGAAGGGTGAAACTTTTCACAATGTCTTGGTGTGCCAGTAACTCACCCAGCCACAGACGGAGCGACACGAGTTGTGACCGCTCTGGAGTCCCATGGCGGCAGGAGAGAGAACGACTAATCATGCTCTTTCTGAGGTCAGCTGCTTTCACTGGCCTTTACTTCAGGGTATTAGCTTAAATGAGGCTAAGTGCAAATGCAATCTCCCCCTTAAGATTTGCTTTTGCTTCTAAAAAAATATTAAGATATTCTTCTTCCATTTTGTCTCATCATCCCCAAAAAATCTGAAGTTTGTGGTTGTAATGTCATAAAATTTGTATTAAAAAAATGAAGTGGTAGGAATGCTATTTTAACACACAATGAGTCTGTCACCATTAATCAGAACCTTTTTGGTGTATAAACACTACAAAAAAGCAACTTGTTCAACTTTCTTGTGGTCTAAACCATATTTAGTAGCTCCTTGCTGTTGCTTGGATTTTAAGGGTGTCTAAATGTAGAATAAAAGCAGAAGTGTTTCTTTTCACCTTTCACTTTAAATCAACTTTAGTCTGTCAGTTGATTAGCGTTGCCGTTTGCTTTTGACGCTGCAACAACAGCATTCTAAATCCTGTCTGAGCAGATCAAGTGTAATAAAAGGATTAAAGCTTTTTATTATTATTTTTTAAACATCTCTAACAGGGGCCGCGGGGTGCTACGTTTCACTTTTCCTAAACAAGAAGTACCCAACTATGCTGGTCCGATAGAGGCAACAAATGTTGATCTGACATGGATTTATTGTAGCGCGTTACTCCGGGGAACTATTTTCAGTGGCGCAACGATACACATTTCATGCTCTACAGCAGAGAGATTGGAGAATAAACAAGAGTGGCCACATTTGTTGTTACATGACTTTTGTAACTTCATAACAGTCTGCTAACAACGGAGTTCTGAGACATGGAGGAACAGGCTAAAGTCAATATTTGATTAGAAATGTCAGCTGGTTTCATTTCTAGGTTATTATTTTTTTTATATCATAAAAGTGGCGTTGTGACTTGCATCTCATGTGTTTTAAGCATGATAAAAAAAAAAACATTTGCGACACAGACTTTCACGGCCAACCAGTTATTTTGACACTCCTGGAACAGATGTGTAAAATACCATAAAAATCTCCCTTTCATCGCTACGTTATGCTGAAACATGTAGAAAAAGCCTACCTTTAATTTCTCTACATTAGTGAAATTCATTTGAAGAAAAAGAATCTCATGTCAAAAACGTAAATTTTTATCACAAAATCTTTGCTGGCACATTCATTGCTTCCCCTGACAATTATCTGTACAATAAATGTAACCATTGCATAATTGGAATCTGTATTTAATGTCGATCAAAGTTTAAAGGAAAAGCGACCTGTAATGCTTTGGGAAACTTGGGGTGGGGAAGACATATTTAAAGTGGAAGACATACTTTCTTTTTTAAATAAAAGGATATTTAAATATTTCACTTTGCCCAATTTTATCTGGAAACGCTTCACCAGAATTCTTAATTTTTCTGTCAGATTATGCTACTGCAACAATAAGTGAAGGCATTTTAAGGCCAGTAAGTGGCTGACATTGTATATTGTACCATCAAGGAAGTTTAAATCTAGTTGTCTGTCTATCTAATTTACATCAAAAATATGTTTTTTTTTCTCATGTTTGTTAAAACTCTCACTAGGTTGTGACAGTACAGTGTGAGACAGACTTTATATCATTTGAATGAATACACAGCTCTGTCAAAAACAACCAGTCAGAGCCAGGAGGAGGGTCTTAGCGCTGTCAATCACCCTCCCGCTTTCTTTCTGCTACGCTACAGTTGGTTCACCACAATGAAGGCAGCCATGAATGCTAAAGCTAGTTAGCATGGCCACTGATGGCGATGATGGTGGATAAACAGTTGTCCTGTAGTGGTAAGTTGTTTCTTCATGTCTAGCAAAATGTACACAAGGTTCACTGACAGCGCTAAGACCCTCCTCCTGGCTCTGATTGGTTGTTTTTAACTGAGACTGGAATTTTTTGGGGGGACGGCTATAGTAGATTGATCTTTTCACAGATTATTTGCCTCATATGTATAAGGACATTTATGAGGACACAGTGACAGTTTTAACAAATATGTAATTTTAAAAATATATATGTATAAAGTTACATACCCCAGTTTTAAGGATGAAGTTCCTGAATGTCAGACTTTTGTCCCGTTTCATGTTGTGTTCTCCTACTGAGAGTGTACCAGAGGCTCACATTCAGTGACAGATCTGGGTCCAGCGCAGGACTGAGTGTGTCCTCTTATGGCCTTCACTTCCTGGCATCCCCGTTGGTCTTCGGCCAAACCGCACGGGGAAACGCGGCCAAATTGTACATCGCATTAGAGGATAATGCCCCATCCACATTCCCTGCTCGTCCTGCTGCAGACCACAAACAGCATATGGTGCTGAATATGCAGCGATGAACGACGATACACAAACCCGCTGCGGCATCTTTCTAAAAGTTGGCACGGCGCACGGGGCCCAGTAGTTTTACAGCCCGAAGTGACAATAAGTCAGAAGTGGGTGACGCACTCCTTGTCAATCCTTGAACTCTCCGTGAATCAGAGCCGTACTCAGTCATCACCTCGCCGGAAAAATATAGGTGGGGGTAATAAGCCTGTCAGACGTGATCTGCTGGGCTGATGGGAGAGTTTAAAGTTCCGTTTAGTGAGGCGAAGGAACAGATGCATCATTTAAACTGACGGTAACGAGAGAGAGGAAAGCTGGAGACGACACTCGTCATGCAATACTCGTGACCCAAAGAGAAAACTCAGACTGCAATCAGCGTTGGGACTGTAGAGGGGTTCAAGAAGCAATCACAGTAAGAGGAGCACCAAACGGCAATGTGCTTATTAGAGCCACACCAACACAGAGAGACAAGGAGAGAGATGAGCAGGAACAAAGACAGAAAGGAACCAAAGCAGATGGACCAACAGAAAACATGAGCGCTAGTCATAGCTGTGTGCTGGCTGACACCTGGACCAGCCGATCTCCAGTTCCTGCCACCTTGGAGCTGGCGTCCACATGTTGAGTTTGACATTCATGTTCGACAATCAACACTCCCAGGGTGGAGGGGTCAGAGGGGATTCCATGCCACCGACGAAGAGTAACAAAACCGTATGAATCGGGCAGCTCCGGCCAAGAGTCCGCCGTGTATCAGCAGGAGGGAGGCGACAGTCCGCCGTTTCCGGTTCAGCTGGTTGTAGCCTTTGATTCTGCACATTTGCAGAACTCGCTCCTTTGTGTCAAGAAGATTTGTTTATTGGTTTGATCTATTCGTCAATGGTTTTTTTTTTGTCTTTTTCTGAGAATGGCTTTCTGTTGGTCTCAGGGTCTGGAAGAAACACAGTTATAAACTTTAGCATAAAAAAAACAAAAAATATATAAGAAATAGTTAAGTGCTTCAATCAATTACATTTTTTTGTCATATTAATCACACTCTAGCATCGTGATTAATTGCAATTAATCACGATGCTTAAGTTTGCAAGCTTGAAATGTAAAAATGTGAAACATTTTACATTTTGCTTTTTAAATTAATTGCATTCGTTAACACTTTGGCAGCCCTACAGTCATTCTAAATATCACAAATGATCTCTGCTGTTTTGTGATTGTTTCTGAACGCGATCGTCCTGAATGTTCTCATTTGTTAAGACTTAGCTACAGTTTCTCCCACACTTCAGATTTGTTTTATTGGAGAAACTTAACTTTGTTTGCAGGGATCACATTGCACAACAGCAGCTCAAATATGATATCAGAAAATCTTGCCGTGGGAGTAATATTGGTACATATTGCTATGACAATATCAGGTTTGATATTGCTATGACGATATAACGTGATATATTGCGCAGCCCTATTTTAAATGGTTAACCAAAATTAATATTACAGCTAAGGCATGAGCGATATGGCTGAAAAACTTATCACGATAACCATGTCATATCAATCGATATCAGTGATTATTGATTAGTTTTTGTTTTAAAATATCCAAGATACTGTGAAACTGGAGACAAACAATGTACCCTTAATTATGACAATATATGTGGACGATAATGTTGAGAAGTCCTATAAACATTTAGCCTCAACTTCTAAAGGAAAGGGGTTGGCAAATTGTCCAAAACTGTACCTCCCAGTTAGTTTTATCAGTTACAACAGATAAAGATAAACATGAAAGCAAAGCCAACAGTTTGTTACAATATGACACAAGAGTTTGTGCGTATTCCTCACCCGTCCTGAGGTCTTAGGTTGGTTATTGCAGAAGGCGACAGAAGGTTGGTCCTAGACGTTGCTGCGCAGTAACCCCCCTTGTGGGTGCTCAGGTGTACTGCACTCTGAGGAGTTCTTGGTTTTGTCCTTGTTGTTGTTGGGCTCATTGTCTTTGATGATGTCATACTGACGACAAAACAAGGCGATCACCCCTGAGGGACAACAGGGTAGAGATTGTTAAGTAACTGAATGTTTATGTCTCGAAATAAAATCTCTCTCTCTTTATGATGATTGTGTGGAAAAATACAGAAAACTAACAAAGTTTGCATCATCTTGGAGTGTGTGGGCGGTGAAGGGATAGTTCAAGACTTTTTATTTAGTTTCCCTTAAGAGGTTATGATGGATCAATATTAGATGTTTCATATGTGAAGCTCATTGTTGTATAGGCCAGAATAATATGGCAGTCAATGTAAATAGCTACCAACCTAAAGCCAGGCCATTCAAACATTTTTAAAACAGTCTTACAAGATCCGCTAGGAACATTTGTGAGTCTCGACTCTAAACTGGCTAAGATACTTAGAAAGAAGATTCAAATCCCACTTCTGACACCACCGTTACACTCAGAGATGTGATGTGGAAGGAAAAAGTCACCAAACTTGACTGTACAGAAAATAAAGCTCATTTATTAAACCTCCAGCAGAGTTCAAAATGGCAGCCATCCCATGAGTCTTCTTGCTACATCCAGTAGTCCACCCATATACTGGTTATTCCTGCCTTCTCAATTTACCCCAGCCAATCAAAACCCAGCTCTTATCACTGCTCCTTCTATAAAGAGCTGGGTTTGAGGCGGGCCTTAGTGGGGTCCCAAGAAGGACACACCCACAAGGTAACAAACGTTTCACACACATAAAGGTTCATTTACACACTCTACAGTTCAAAACATTAAAGAAAAACTTGTCACTTCTTAACACATGCACCACCTTTCATTCAAGCTTAAATTCAAGTTTATCTGTATAACACATTTCAGCAACAAGGCAGTTCAATCATCCTAAGAACATCATATGGTCACCAATTGTGAAACAAGCAATAAATAATGACATTTAGTCATACGCCATCATCAAAATCAACGTTAGTCCTTTAAACCTAGAAATGTTCTTCAGCTGATAGAAGGCTGACTTTGTAACTGTCTTTATGTGACTCTGAAGGTTCAGGTCCTTCACTACAGCCAGATTTTGGGTCTTATCTCTGGTTTCTAGCTGTAATGACTGAAGCGTTAAACTGAAATGCTTGGATTGCAGCTCAACATATCCGATTCCAGCCAGGTGTTTACATTCATTTTCAGCCTTTCAGGATCCATTTGAACAGTTCTTTTTGTGGGCTGGGATGAACACCCAACAGATAACGTTCGAGAACAAGAACTGTGTGCTGCAGGTTTGAATTTGTGGATCTTCTCCTACCCAAGCAAGGTTTAATTTATACATACTTGCAGAGATATATTTGGTTAAATGTCTCTTAGCAAGATTCAAAGGAACTTCATGCTTTGGTCGTCATTAACAAGGTCCAAAAGTAATTCTGCCTGGATATTGACCACTGTTCTAATGAAAAATGGTAAATCTAATTTAAATTGGTTCTTTTTCTGGAACAGACCCAAATGGCTAACGTTAGCCAGTCTTATTCAATACCAAACCACTTTCTATGTGCATTTGGAATCATTGTCCTGTTAATTCTCTGGCGCAGACAGAGCGACATGGCTCCCGACATGTCGATAGAGCCGATCCGAACGAACTGAGACACGAACAGCAGATGGAGTCGAAGGGGGGGTGAGGATGTGAATCTGGACGCCGAGACACGACGCAGGAGCTGTCGATGTGGGGAGCAGATAGAGAACAAGCTTGCAGGAATGAGAAAGGGAATAATTCATGATGGTAGAAGAGGGTGCGATGGGATGAATCCGAGCCCAAACATGGCTCGGTATTTCTGCTTATGTCAGCCTCGGCAGATCTAATCATTGCGGTACCAAGGGGTAAGATGGGATATCTCCCTGTGATATCCTCCAGCATGCCCCACAGGCCCAATTAAGAGCTGAAAAACACAATTCGCCTCCTTGGCTTTAAGTTATTTTATTTTTTTCTACCACCATGCTCAGGTTTTTCTCCACTACTTTTTTTTTTTTTTACTCTCTTTGAATTTTCCTTAGTTTTTCCCTCGTCATCTCAGTCCCTGCTACCAGTAATTGGGCCCATACCAACCCCTCCATGGAATGTATAGAGACCATATATATCTTGTTACACTTAGTGGAGTAAGATCAGAGACTTATCGTATGGCAAAGAAACCTTAGTAAATGTGCATCTTGCCACTCAAATGTGAATATTTCCACAACAGGAAGAAGAGTAGTTTTCTGTGGAGTGAATTATCACTTTAGTACTTGTGGAAAGAGAGGCGCTAAGCCTTTAGGAGTCTTTTAATTTGCACAAATACAAAATCCTATCAAGTATTTTTGGTCAAGTTTCTAGAGCAAATATCTTAGTACACCTGAAATAAGACAAAACAAGCTTACAAGTAACTTTTCAGAAAGGTATAGGAGCTTATTTGAAGTCAGTAACTACTTAACTTTTTTATTTATTTATTTTTTAAGTACCAAGTCCACTAGCAGATTATTTTACTTCTGACTAGTACGTTTTCATCAGTATTAAGTAATTGTTGACTTAGAAGAAGCTCCTATACCTTTCTGAAAAGTTACTTGTAAGCTTGTTTTGTCTTATTTCAAGTGAGCTAAGATTGTGTTTCCCTTAAAGAAGAGGCTTAAACCACAAGAGCTGGTCGAGAATCTAAACCTCCAGCTGAAGCGGCAGATTGCTTAATGAGACTTCAGAGAGAAGAAACGCAAAATGAAGAAACAGAAAGAGGAAACAGAGCAAAATAAGATGCAAGCTGTATTATCTAATCTCATTAGGAGGTTTTGGATATTAGTTTTTCATATAGTACAACTGTAATAAGGATTAATAGATCAAAACATAGGAGCTGAAGATGGCAGTGTTACAAGGGAGATTGTTCTTTACTGCCAAAGCCAAAGTTCCTTTGATAACCGAAAAGGAAATCTATATTTTATTCATTTGTCCAGCACAATTTATTTCTATCCTCTAAAACTTTCCAACTGCCCCGTCATAAAGATACATACATTTGATACAAAGTCTTCTTTTATGAGTTTTTCATTTTTATGTTTGTTGTTGAGAGTAAAGGTGCGTCTCCAAGGATTTATTGTAATTATCAGGCTAAATAAAATAATTACTATGCCTTTAATCTGTTTCTCAGGCAATTTTAAATAACACTTGGCCACCTTTCTCAGAAGTGGCAACAATACAAAGAATATTTTTATCATTTTCAAATCCAGACATAATATTTAGCAAATCAGATTTAGAACTAGAATCATAAAAGAGCTGCATAAAACACAAAACGATGTACAAACTTCAGATCAATTCTAACTTTTGAAACTCGCAAATTTCCTTTGTGTTTTCTGGAACATTTCTGAGATTAATCTCCAAATTTGTGAGTGTTTTTTTTTTTTTTTCTAATAAATGTTAGACTTTCCAAACTCAGAAAGTTTGGAACTTTCTGAGTTCTGGTCTGAGATCTCAGAATCTCAGGCCAGATTCTGAGCTCAATCTCCGCTGGCCTGAGATTGATCTCAGAAAATTTCTGAGATTAATCTCCAAATTTTTTATTTTTTTTTTCTAAGAAATTTTAGAATTTCTAACCTCAACCATTTCCTTGTTTTTCTAGAGAACTTCTGAGATCAATCTTGACATTTCTGACTTTTTTCTAGCCAATTTCCAATTTTTCAAACTGACAAATTTCCATATTTTTTTAAAGTAAAAAAATTCTATCAATAATTGCCCTAACATACCATCGCAGACAATAGATTAACACTGACAGGTCATATTTCTAGGTAATAGGTAGGTAGCAAGAGATCCAATCAACTGAACTTTTTGGATCATAAATAGGAATCCAAAAACTTCTAACGACTTTTAGGAAACTTGAATATTGTCTAAAATAACCCGGAGTCTCCCCACTTTGGCCTAAAGGCCTTGCGGGGAGATATTCCTCATGGAAATATGGCATCTGAAGCTGAATGTTTGTTCCCAAGTAGGAACTCCATCAGAGAGCTTATTTACTCTGCAGGTAGTGGCGTCCTGGAAGGTGCCTGATGATAAATGACCAATAATACAGAAGAACATTACCTGCCCACATGACGAGCACCACAACAATGATGATGAGCTCTCCGGCCCTCAGCTGGGCAGCCTGACCAACCTCCTCCATCGTCACCTCGTCTGCAGAGAGAACACACACACATGCACACACTCATAGAGTCAACAAAGGCAAGGTGGAAGACACTGTAATTCATCAGCGGGAGGGGCAGAGAATGCAAAAAAAATAAAAAAAATAAAAAATCCCCATCACTCGTAAACTCTGTGGGGAAAGATAAAAGAATCAAAGACGGGTGACGTGAGGAAAGAGATGCAGGCTGGTGTGAATTCTTCACCCTGCTCTGTGTAATTAAAGCTAAGTGAGAGCAGCCGTCTGCAGGGACAAAAGGAGCCCAGACCCCCACCCAATCAGTCACCGGGCTTTCCCTCGCTGACAGCGCTCTGGCCACTGCAGCGTAACACCAATCACAGCCGTAAAGGTTGGAACACACTCTGAATTACAGCCTCTCGCTCTCCGCTGCCGTCAGAGCCATCCTGCCTCTGCGTGCCGGCTGTACAAAGCAAACACAACACATTTCACCGCCTTTCTGCTGGCCGTTTTTGGTTTTAATCGCCAGCCAGTGTGTTAGTGGCAAAGTTGCTGTATTATATGATAGTGGAAATTAGATGTTGCTTCCAGTGCACATTTGACTTTTCTGAATCAATGGTTACAGTATCCTGTATCTGGTGCAGGCAGAAAATTGGACAGGCTGGAAAAACAATAGGAGCAAAAATTGAAGAAGGGAAAAGAAGAAGATGGGATGGGGAAAGCACAGACTGGGTGAAGGAAGCTGGTCTTAAAGGTCAACTGTAAAGTCAACATTCCCTCATGTAAGAGCCAATACATATGTTATATTTAGCTGCATTAATTAAATAATATGGCTGTCATAATGCAAGAGCTCACAAGAACAAAACAATACTGAAAATAGAAAATTAAGATCCAACTTTTAAAAAAATTTAACTGGTCACAAGTAATTGAATGAAGTTCATCTAACTTAATTTATTTTCGTTTGTTTAACTCGATAACTTCAGAAATTAACTTTGGTAAACTTAATTAAATTACGTGTGGCGAAAGAAATTCTGTTGTCAGTGAAGATGGAATCCTTATCATTTACTAAATTCATTGTTTTAATTGTACAAATAAAACAAAGATGTTGCTGTATATTAAAAGGTCTGTATTCACTGCAGAAAAATACAACCCAGGTTTGGCTTTAGCTGCTGAACGCCCACATAAGTATTTTTTTCCTGGTTATTTTTGTTGTTTCACATATAGAATAAAGATTAAGTGATTAGCTGTGTTTTCATTCATATTCTGTGTCATTTATTTACAATTGGTGTGTTTTCACAAATGGAAGGCAGGTTTAATATTTAACAATTTGTAATCAGTAAAATAAATTTGTTCACGTTTCAAAAATGTCAATGTACAAATAGTGAGCTTCGGACAGGAATCCAGTTAGCAGCTGCTGCCAGCTAGCTAGCTAGCTGCAATTACATTTCCCTCTCGTGCTTTCAAATTGTCACTTATTTTGTCACAATGTAGTTATTTATTTTACCAACTAGGAAGATAAAATACTGCCACGCAAATTATTTAATGGTAGAGAGCACTTATTTTTCTGTGCTAATTGAACTTAAGCTAGCTCCAGCTGGAAAGTGCTAGTTCCTACAGACTTTGTCTAAATTCCAAATACAGTTGAATGCCACCTTGTCTAACTAAAATTATTCTAACTCCAAATTATTCACAGATTTTTTTTTTATTTTTTTTGTGTGTAGCATAATATACCTGAAAGAAAATACAGCAAAGAGCGCACAATGCTACTTGCTACTATTGGATGTCGCAAAGCAGCCAAAGCAACCATTGGTATCGGTGCTGATTGATCCACAAGAGTGGAGTAAAGGACGACTGTGGATGTTAGCTTCTGCATATTTATTGTTTGAACTAGTAAAATAAGCAGCTGTAAGCGTTTTTAGAGGGTGTCTGAAGTATTTGTGGATTTTAGCTATTTGGTTTCTTGTCCAACCTCTGCAAACACCAGAGGTCAACAACAGTGTCATGAATATTGTCATAACTTGTCCCATGAGATGTCATGGAAACTGGATTAAGCGGCACAAATTTTTGGACGTTAAGCATTTCAAAATGCCAGAGATGACAATCTGACGTCGCTGATAAAGAACTGCACTGAACCTACGTGGTTTCTTCATACCACATGACCATTGCTGTGTAAGCAGGTGAACCCCGTTGCTCTAAAAGCTAAATGTTTGTTTTCGTTCCAGGTCCAGCGCGAGTCGTGGTCGCCTTTAGGGGAGAGATGCCGTTCCATGAAGGCCTTTGTGACACACCATCTTTGTCTGGGTGAGTTCAGGATTTTGTTCTTCATACATCTCTGCTCTGCCTGGCTGTCAAGATCACCGTTACCATAGCGATCCCTCTAAGCTTTAACTGCAGCCCGAGGCCTGACAGAAAGAGTGGAAGGTTTATGCACTTTAATAAGCTGAATGTGAAATAATTACATACTCCTGTCTGTGAGGGCTTGGCATGATTACATTAAATATGGTCGCTTTCTTTGTTGACAAGCTCTTAATTTGTCAGTTTGGTTTACTTTCAGTAACATAACCCTGTCAAACAGGTCAAAACACTGGAAAACAAACCATCTCATATCCAGAATTGTTTGGCCATATTTAAATATCACTTGCAAACAAAAGGAGAAGCAGAACCTACAAGAAGAAGACAGACACTAATTAAAGTTTCAATAGGTCCAACAGTATGGAGGCTTGTAAAATGTGACTGCCAGGAAAGACTATCACAAAACCTCCGACGATTTAGCTCAACACACCAGGAACACCTGCAGTATTTTCTCCATCCTAGCGATAGGCAGCTTAGAAAGATAAGCAAACCATCTGACAGAAACCCAGCGACGAGCGGCGTGTCGGTCCGCACCGCGGCTACAAATGCAGAGTTTTGTCAGGCTGATTAATACCCGCTTAGAAGGGGAGGAGAGCAGTAATGGTCGGGAGATTTAATCAGGACAGCTAATGAATGCTTCCACCAACACCGACCAGATTCATCCATCAAAGTCAGAACTCGGCAACAGTTGAGACAAATTATGCCTCTAAATATGTGTCACATGACCAGATGTTTGGCGGCTTGAGAAAGTATTCACACCCCTTAAAATGTTGCTGTATGACCAAAAACTTCTTAAGATTTCATTTGATTCATTCAGGGCATCTGCAGGTTTCAGGGAGTCAAATTTAAGAGTTTTAAAGAGCTTTTTAATGACCCAGGGAGTAAAATTTAAGGCCAAAAAACTATGGAGAAACCATAGAGCCAAACTTAAAAAGTTTTTTTTCCTTACAGAATGCATCCGCCCTCATATAGGTTGGCAACAGAAGTGAGCCAGTGGTAAAAACGAACATTGTCCAGCCGATAGCAATACATTTGAAGTTGCCCATGATAGGTACAGAAAAGCTAGTTTGCTACAAGCAAGGGTATGTTAGCAGCTGTACGTTAGCTTCAAACACTGTTAGTGACAATGAAAATGTCTGTGAAAACTTTTGCCACACAGAACAGAAAGAAACTTTATGAATCAGATCTTTGTAGAAAAGTGGACAAAAGATTCGAATCGGCCATGAAAGCGTAATTTTGTCAGATGTTCCTGTTACATATGACTGTAATACACAGGAAGTAGAGGTTGCAAGTTAGAAAAAAAATGCAGAGTCCTTCACTCCAAGCCAGCATTACAGGCAGACTACAATTCTAAAATACCGTAGAAAATCTACATTGTCATTCATAACTTCTTCTGTTCGCCGATTTATTCGTTTGGAGTCCTCCCAAAGAAATCCAGCTCAATGGGAGAAATCCCAGATTGTCACTGAAAGGGAGATGAAAACCAAGCAGAATGGCCAGGCTAAAAACCACCTCCAGTGAGCACAAAGTGTTTTTACAAAACCCAGGAAGCTATTTTGAATTTTGCCTTTTACATCAACCTTTCTTGATGCGGTACTACAAAATTTGCATAAAAAAATGTTGATGGAAACATAGTTGCAGTGGCCACATCACGATTTGGTCTATTTTCCACTAAGACAACGACTACACCCACACCTACAACGGAAAAACTTAAACCTGAATCCAACTGAGAATCTGTGGCAAGAGTTGGACATGTATCCAATCTGACCAACCTCCGGCTATTTTACGAGAAGGAATGAACAGAAATTTCAATCTCTATAGGGGCTCGGTGTGTCATAACCTCAATACGACAGAGAAGGAAAGATACATTACAAAAGATGGATATTGTTTTCTTTTGCTATATAAATACAGTATCAGTTCCAACCATGTGTCTTAAACAGGACCAAGGCGAGCTCAGTCAGTGAAGGGGTTTCCAGGGAATAGACTGCTGCGTCTTCTTATCGCCTCACCGCTGATGAGCGTTTTAGTATTTTGCAGGGTCCCTCTGAAGCGGCCGCTTTTGGCAGCGGAACTGGGTCGGACGTGATAAAACTGGGAGTGCTGGCGGGCCGCTCCAGATAAGAGCCAGCAGCCTCTCTGCGTACTCGTGAGAGAGGAGACGGAAGGAAGGCGAGAGGAGTTCACGCCCGAGATTTGTGTTTTTATTACCGTTTTGTTCGTCCGGGAGATGCAGAAACAGAAAATAGCGTGACGTATATAGTCTGAGTGGGGGAAAAAAAGCATAGTTATAATAAAAAAAAAAAAAAAAAAATATATATATATATATATATATATATATATATATATAAATATATATATATACTTGTATGTAAGAACATGAGCAGATTTTTGTGTGTGTGTCGGCAGAGGGAGAAACAGGGAGGCCGATTGTTTACTCCATCTGCGTTGGTGCATGATTGCCTCCGTGTCTATATGCTCTCATGCTTGCATTTTTTTATTTATTTATTTTTTTGCAGGCTCTCGTATGCGCCGAGTTTCAATTCCCCTCTCACATTTTGTGTTTGTAGCATATCCTGTTCCAATATAAGCTACATGACGACGTTCTCAATGGGAAAAGCGTGATGAATACACAACAAATGTATTTACATATAGATTAGCATTCGGAGGCCTCGGTAACACGGCTCACAGTATGCTAGCTCAGACAGCTGTGGCGCCTCGTTGCCTGGGAACTTTATCGCCACGTTTTGTCTCTGGGATTCTATGTGGCGCGTCAACACAAAGTGAAAAGCATAAAAACGAAGCGGAAGGGAAAGGATGTAAAAATCTGAAAAGTGTGGCATATGCATGTTTTTTTGGGTGTGTCTCTACCGTTTCTTTAGTCACCCCGTAAATCTGTGACAAACAGCTCAACCTCAGTCAGATTCAAGAGGGAGTGTCTACGACGGCCAGTTTTCAAGTCTTACTGCAGATTCTAAATTGGATTCGCTTCCTGACTTTGACTGGGCCGTTCCTGCACATGAATGTTAATTGATCTAAAACATTCAATTGCAATTCAATTGTCGGCTGCATGTTTAGGGTTATTTAATTGCTGGATGTTGAAGCTCCATCCCAGCCAGTATCCCAGCAGGTTTTCTTCACCATAACATGATGCTGTCTCCACTGTTGTGTTTATTTTTTTCCTATCCTCTTATGTTGAGACCAGAAAGTGCTCTTCTGCTCTTTCTCAATATTTATAATACATGAGTGTTTCTTCTTGCCACTTTCCAATGAAGGAAAATTAGTGTAGTACACAACTAATAAGTCTCTTATAAGCAGAAGTGACACATTGAAAAAAGAGAACGGAGCTCAACTTAAAAAAGTTATCGAATTAAGTTTGTCAAACTTTATTTATTTACGTTTGTTTAACATGACTACTTAATATATTTTATTTATTTTTTGGATAAACTTAATTTTATTACTTGTTACAAAATAATTTTAGTTGGATCACCTGTTGTCTTTTTTTCAATGAATACAGAGCATTTTTACAAACAGACTGACTTCATTTAGGGATATAAGAGTAAAACGAATCGCGTTTTTCGTACATTTCACAATTATGCCTCACATTGTGCTGGTATGTCACATAAAGCCCAACAGAAACCCAACTCAGGATGTTTAAATCTAAGCAAACCCTGCCGGGAATCCGAATCTCACCGGGACTCTTGGACGCCATTTTCTCCGACTCTTTTGGCGTTCTGAAGAGAACAGGCTGACTGGGGGGGCTGCTGCCTCCCATGCTGATGCTCTGGACGTGGACGATGTATTCGGTATCCTCGTCCAGGTCCCACAGCGCGCAGGAGCGGGTGGTGGTGTTCACTTCCTGGATGAACCTCAACATCCGCACATCCTTCTTCTGCGTTGGACAAGAGGGGAAAACAAAAAAACAGAAAATAACAAAAAAGAAGCTTACAATCCATTTTTGTTTACCTTTTTTAAACTAAATTTGTAGTTTTAACCACTGCAAATTTATGTGAGGAACTTCAATTTTCTATGCTGTGGCTTAATTTATGCTAATGTGTACACTTCTGTCCAGGGGAACAGTTGGTGAAAAAGCTTAAGTAAAGTCTCTCAGGGTTTATTTTAACAATGCAGTAAAGCTTAAAGACAGAAATTGCTTTCCAGGCCATGTACACTCTCCTAGAAATGGCCATTATTACCCCACTACAGCTGCTTGCTCAGGTCAATTGGCTCCTGCTGGATTAAAGACCACGGCTCCACTGGGGCACTTTTATTTACCAGGCAATTATAAAAGGAAATTTCTTAAGCCATTAAAACTTCACGAGGACAAAATGTTCATCTAACATGGATCTCCAAAGCGCTGCGACGTGCCAGCAGAAACCAGGTTTCTGGAAGCCGCAATTTTCTGCTCCAGTTTGAATAATTAATGAAAAAAATGTGTGCACAAAGATGAATTACTTTGGTACTCAGGCAAAAACAAAAACAAGATGATTTGCTTGAAGATTTCAGGAGATACTTAAATCAAGGTTATCTACAAATATTTAGATCAATGCAAAATCAAGTTAGCTAAATTTACCTCGCGTGCCAAAACTTTCATTTTAACAAACTTCTGTATTTTTTTAAACAAATGTATTTTGCAGAACATGATCTAAAAAACAGGATAAATAGCAGTTAAATACAATGCTAGCTGGTTTTAATGGAAGTGGAAAGCTGGTTAGAATTAGCTCCCAGATAGCTAAAACAGTTAGCTTCTTCTAGCTAACTGTTTTAGCTTAAATAAAAGCTTCGAAACATTTATTGTTGGTGAAACTTTGATATCCAAAACCACAAGGGGTTTGTCCGTAATGGGCCGATATAACTTTATGAATAAGAGGTGGGACAAAGATCTTTTTCCCCCCTCAGTTAGTAAAAAAAATCAGCGTCCGTGAAATTCCATCAAAAATGTTGTAATGCCAAGTAATCCGAATGCAATCAAGTATGCAGTATTAACATACATGTAAACAAAAGAAAAAATCAACAGGGACAAATCCTCAGTAATAACGGCATAGCTGCATAATTTGTACAATTTATGTATATCATATGTTTTAAAGTCCTGTTATTATTTTTATTTTATTTTTTATTTTATTATCCTATGCATTATTTTTAGGCCCTCTCTCCCGAAGGCATTAAAAAAAAAAAGAAGAAAAAAACTAACAGACTCACACATACCTGTTGCGTGATGGCGAATCCGATGACCGGATCTCCCTCCAAGATCTCCCACGTCACCACAGCCGAGTTGACCTCCAGCTCTCTGATGGTCACATTGAGCGGAGCTGACAGCGCAGCGTCTAACACAGACACAGAAGGATATTTAATTAACAAGGACAGAACATAAATGCTATATTCCCATACTTTGCAATTGATATAATAAATCCTACAGCGGAGAGCAGAGCAGCCTCCTCATGATCACTCTCATTGAACTCTTCCTTTTTTTTCTGCTCTTTCAACCCACTTTCACTCAGATCTTCCTCTCACCACCCACAAATTAATCTATCTCCTTTCATTTATACCCAGCCTAATTAACACACTTCAGTCTGTCAGGGGGTTTCCCACAGGAAGACGCTGCTTCCCATTCGTCTTTGTTTCCGATTCTCACACATTTTTCGGTCTTTGCCTCCTCTCCTCTTTCATACGCAGAGATTCACTTTTGGTGCGATCCTTTTGTGAAATGATCTTAACGTTTGTGCTGGAAAAGCGGAGAAATCACACCTGGGTGAATGTAACAAGGTGCTAATCTGCAGATTTAATGACAGGTCCTGTTGAAGTTTGAATCGTTTCCATTTCTGAACTGCAGAAAGGGATAGAGCTGAATGTGTGTGTGTGTGTGTGCGTGCGTGCGTGCGTGCGCGTGCGTGTGTGTGTCTTTACAGACAGGAAGTGTGTGTGGTGTGTGTCAGTAACAACAAGCTCAAGGCCCTCTATGAGTTGACTCGAAGCTGGATTTCCCTCGAGTCCAGCTCGACAAATTAACATCAGAGTTGGACCTTGGTTTGGGTTTGAACTCAGGAAACAAGAAAACAGGAGTGGCTCCTTGGTCTTCCTCAACACTAAAGATATTCTTTCTCAAAATGTAACCAAAGACTACAACAGAAAAATGTTCCACATAGTTCTTCTAACACTTCTTGGTTATATTATCCAGCATACTTGAAGACTTCTGGAATTTTCAACCCATTACGTGATGCACCCTAATTGGCAATTATCAGCATTTGTCCACCGTTTCCATGGCAGTCTCACCAGCATCTCATATTTGCTTCTGACTAATGAGCAAAAATTGGCAGTTTACATTTACTCTACGGAGTTAGATGAGCAAGTAGCAAGACATTCAGTGTCAAGAAAATGTCTGAAATGTCACCCCACTGACTCCTTCGAATATTTAGCTGATTTATGCCAGCTAACAAGTCAGCCATTTCAGCTGAGATGGTGCTAATTAGTTTTAGCAGTATTATGGTAATGCGGTTGTTACAATTTGTTTATCCGTAGCTTTAGTAGTATTATTCTGATGCGGTTGCTACAACTTGCTTGTGTTTAGCATTAGCAGTATTGTGCTAATGCTAATTAGGTTAATCTCTGAGTCGTCAAAAAGTGTACAAGCAGATATTCTGTAGGTGTACATAGTATTTTTGTATGTATTTTGAGTAGAATTTGTTTTTATGGAAGCAAAGGTCTGCATGGAAAGAGTTCAATTAAACAAAAAGAGTTCAATTAACTGTACCTTTTGTACTGCTCTGTTTTCCACAGCTTGGCAAATTATCACCAATATTGTTGAATTGAAATAGAAATTTTGGTAGGAACTCAAAACTTAAGTTTATAGATTTCCTATAAATAAATGGACAAATACAAAGAAGGAACAGAGCTAGTTGGCAGTGGGAAAATAATAACTAGAGTTGCACCGATTGCAGTTTCTGGCCGATCACCAGTCTTTTAAAAATCTTACCCTGCCAATTCCAATTTTGGCCAATACCAATTTTTTTGTCTGAAATGTTGCTCAGTATAGCAAGAAAGTTGTTGAGTTGGTAACAGTGGGGTAACTACTGTTAATTGTAAATGTGCAGACATGACCTGATGGGCCGGTCTATCAGTCAAACCTCTGTCAACGGAGAGCAAAAGAGGACAGTGGTTGATTCTTAGACTTTTGCCAAGCTAGATAAGATCAGTGGATAAGATCAGCTTCATATGTAAAAATCGGCCAATCATGATCTTCCAAAATTAAGAAAATCGGCACCGATAAATTGGCTGGCCGATAAATTGGTCCACTCTTAATAATAACTCATAAAAGTTGTGGAGGCTGAGCCCCGAACATCTGGACAAATATCCACTAAACAAATGCCTCACAGAAGTACAAATGCAGAAAGAGGTGAATTTTCTCCCCTCTATGTATTTTTATTGAGATAAACCAACATAAAGTGGGAAGGCAGACAATAAAAAGTTAGCAAAATGTTTTTCAAATGAAAATCAAAGAATGTGCGGGATGTATACATCTGGACATTTACCTATTTGATCAACTTAAATTGTCTGTGACCATCAATTATAAAGTCAAGCCACAGATTGTCAATTAGAAGGTCTGGACTTTGACTACAGCCACACACACATGCACGCACGCACGCACGCACACACACACACACACACACACATCTTCAGACCAAATGAAAGCGATCTCCAAATGAAAGTTGAGATAAAGCCTGGACGATCTTATCTCCAAGAGTTAGGGTTTCCAAAGGACTATCTGTAATCTGTGAGCTTCCATTGTCGGGACACAATGGAAGCGAGATCTTTTGACTCAAACAGATTTCCCCTCTTGAGCATAACTCACTGAAGAATTCAGGATATATCATCGTTTAAAAAGGGCTGGAAATAATCTCGCAGGGTAAGTGATGGATGCTGAAGAAACGTCCAGAGAAATCTGAATTGTCCAGATGAGGTTGAACGGAATAACTTGGATGACGCTGTGTGTGTGTGTGTGTGTGTGTGTCGCTTGAACTCTAGCTGGGAGCTACAATCTCATCTTGGATTCAATTTCAAGACATTTACCTGGACTATGAGGCAATTTCTGCCTCTGTTTGTGTCAGAGTGATCCTAAAAATCATGCTAATGCAGCGTGATTACCTCATGTCACCCCATCATTTTTGGCTTAACAAGGCTTATTGTGAGTGCAGATCTCATCCATGTGTCATGACATTATCTCCCCTCCTCCTCCCCCAGAGGGATGCCGCTACAAACCTAACACCAGATCAGCGGTGCTCCGAACCGACACATATCAGCCCCGCTGGATGTATTTGCTCAGTCGGTACATCGCCCCTACATCCCCTCCCTCCTCTCTGCCTCTTCTTTGTTTGGCTCGCTCATCAACCTGTGGTCCAACTCACCGGCTTTAACGGAGGACGCCGAGAGGAAGGAGCCCAGCAGGAGCAGCGGCAGCGCCGCAGACAAGCCCGGTTTCGCCATCCTCCTGCTTCTTCTTGCGGGGCTTCACATCCTGCGCGGCCCATTTATCACATCGCGTTTAAGGCGAGCGAGACGAGCATCCCCGGCCGGTAAAGGGGGGGAACCAGAGGGCGGACTTGTGCCCGGAGATGAGGCTCTCTGGAAGTTGTGAGCTGCAGCAGAAGCGCCAGCAGCGGCGGCGCAACAACAGCCGAAGGAGGAGGAGGAGGAGGAGGAAGACGAAGAGGAGGAGGGATTGAGATGAAGGTGAAGAGAAAGGGAGGTGGAGAGGGGTGGAGGGGAAGCGAGGGAGATGGTACCGATGTGGTGACAGGGATGGCGGCTCGGAGTGTCAGTCCTGTTCGGCTGGTGGTGACGGAGAGGTGGGAGCGGAGGCAGCAAGGTGCCGCTGTTCGCAGACTCCCGCAAACGCTCACGCAAAAACACCTGCAGCAGTGCACGTGAGGTCACTTCACAGAAGAAACCGGAAAACAAAAAAAAAATAAAAAAATTAAAAAAAAAAAAATAAATAAATAAATAAATAAATAAATAAATAAATAACGCAGACAGACAGACCTCACTGAAGATATCTCATTTCATTAAAAGAGTTGGTAAATATAGTAGAATATAAAATATTATGGCGCGCGTGTGACGTTTAGACGCAGCGGGATGAATTACACTGTTTGACCTTTCAACCCCAAACTTTTTTGCAACAACGTCATCAAAAAAGATCGAAGGGCGATGTTTTTATTGATGCCATTATTAAAAACGCGAAACTGATTGAATTATTATTATTATTATTATTTTTTATTTTTTATTTATTTATTTATTTATTTTTAGTTCATCAACAGATGGACACGCGCAATATCTTCAGGAAATAGTTCTATAATCACGATTTCTGTCGAAACGGCATCTGGAAATCATTGTTGATCCTAACCAGTTAAATTCATTTCAGATTTAATTACTTATTGATCCCAAAGGGAAATTAAACGTTATTGTAAAACAAATTATTCAAGATTATTCAGAGTTGTTTTAGTTGGCAGGAAGGACAGATTTTCAATTAGAAAGCTAGAATTCAAATCAGAATTCTAGATTGAGCAAAACTAATAAAATTAATTGTAAGAAATTATTATTATTATTTTTAAGTTGGTTCAAAGAAACATTTTTTTATCAGTGCAACGACTCAAACTCACATTTAAGCTCTTCTGCAAAACTCTGACAGATTTGGGTGGAAACCAGCTGCTCCCAAGGGCATAACACTAAAAATAAAGATGAACTTTTGAAGATAAAGATATGAACGACATCTTACTGGAAAAAATAAAATAAAATAAAAAAACAGAGAACACGACTGGAAAAAAAAATCTCTTATTTTCTGTCTCTTGTCAGTCTTCTTTGTAGAGTGAATACAAAACAGAGATGTTGACACAGGACTAATAAATCATCGAAAACTGTTTGCCCAAATGTTTGTCTGCCCCTGAATGTACATATGTCACCCATAAATCTTGCCTCAAAAAACAAAACAAAAAAAAAAGCTTTGCTGCAGGAAATGCACTCCAAAAAAACCTGCTGATGTCATCAGATCTTCTCTCACTCTGGAGTCTTTTGCTTTTTTCTCATTGGAGACGCAATCAAGCCGGAGACAGAGGACCGGTTTCCAACCTTCTTCAAATCAGACAAAATTGGTTTAAAGGTAATTTTGATTTAGTAAGAGCGAGGGGGGTGGCTGACCTTTTGACCTTTAAACTTTCATTAATACCTTCAAAGCCAAAGCAGCACAAACAAAAAAAATATGCTGCACAAACGTCTGATTTGCAGAAGATGGTGGGGAGGGGGCAACTTCACTCAGATCCACTACCAAGGTGTAATATTTGATATACACATCATTTTTATAACAACTGAAGCTAACATAGTCACTTGATTATGCTATAAAATGGCAGCCTGGAAAACACAAAATTTTGCCCCCTTTAATAGTTTATAAAAACTTTAAAACAGTTTGTATTCCATGAAATCATTATCTCCTTTTTTTGCAAAAACAAAACAAAAAAAGCCAGTCTCCTTTATTTCCTCCTTAAATCTTGTTTCGTTCTATATTCACTATAGAACGAAATAAAATATAAACATAAACAAACAAATATATTTGTTTGAATTTATAAACCATGTTTAGTTTGGGTTCAATTTCATTTTGTTCACCAAAGGATAAGGCTGTACTTTTTCTTTACCCCCCATCAAAGGTTCACGTTTTATGTGCTGCTCTTCTGTCTTTTAGACAATCCAGAAGCTAAAAAAAACAAGATGGCAGCAGCTTATTTCCTAAAGTGGTTCCAATTAAAGTGCTGGCACCGGTCGGAGAGAACGCCCTCCTCGGTGGAGGGGAGGAAGAGGAAAGATGAAGAGAAGGAAGGCAACATCCTGACGCCGCCTCCCTCCTTCCAAGGACAGTCGCCCTGTGCTGAGGGGCCGACCCCTGGTGTTACCTAACAGGAAGGAGACTCTGCCGCCTCCTTCCAGCTGCACCCTATCCAGTCAAAGTCACTTTCACGTGTTCACCTTCAAAACGACTCTGTTGCTCTGCTTATTTTTGTGGCTAAATGTTTCCTGGATTCAGTTTGAAACAGATCTGAAATGTGGCGACCGGTCCCCGATTTCTCTCCTCATTTTCTGCGGAGAGTTCTAGGGGACGGCGAAACCGCGAAGACGGACTTATTGTTGTTAAATCGTGCTTTCTGAGTCAAACCCAAACTAAATGTGATTATGGAAATAACCCCCAGTGTCCCAGTGACTGTGGAGGTTCATTTTTAGGGAGGATATTTGCATCACTTGCATTCTCCGATCAACTATAAATGATTTTTTTTTGTGTGGAAAAAGTCAAATCTATTAGATCGCTTAATCCGCCTTGAATGTGTTTGACCGCTAAAGCTCTGAATTTCTGTCATAACTGAAGGAGTGTGTTGAGGGCTAAAAAATGAGATAACTGAGCAACGTTTTATTAAGGTAAGTTGAAGACATTATAAAAACTCATCCCACGTTAAACTCTTTCTTTTCTGTCTTTCATTCTTCAGTACTTTAGAAGCGAACCTCTTCAGCTTGTTAGGTCAAAATCTGGGTGATTTTGCACTTAGTACAAACATCAACCATTGAACTCTACGGCCATAGTTCTGCCACTGATGGACTCGAGTTTTCTCTTGTGCAGGGGTGTCCAAAGTGAGGCACTGGGGCCATTTGTGGTGCTTGGACCAATTTTTTTGAGACCCCAAACAGCAGATTTAGAACAAAATTAATTTGTTTATTGAATGTTTTACTTTTAATCAGTGTAAAATCATCACTGATCTAATTTTCTTACAATGCAAAATGTCAAGTACAACACAAAGTGCTTGTCTTTTTTTTTATAGTCAAGCTTGTAATAATAAGTAGAACCATGTTTACCCAGAGACTTTGACTGAAAATCTGGCTTTTCTGAAGCTTTTATTTAATTTATTAAACTTCCCTAAACTTTGCAAGCTTTGTGAAAGAAAGTGACCTGAATCCCGTTCTTGTAACTGAGAATAAATTTGTTTGGAAAGTATTTGAAAAGTATTTCATTTAAGAGAACAAATGTGCAGAATTATTGCTAAGTATTGGATGAACGATGAATAAGGCTCCCCAAAACTGAGCTACTTTCTTTCCTTGATTTTATTTGAGTTTTTAAATTTTTCTTTCTTGAGCCATGAATACTTTTGACCGTTGTGACAAAAAGTTTAGACTCCCCTACTTTAGTGTCACTCACAAGAAATATTGATTTTAGTTTGGTGAGTAGAAATAAATGAGTTACTTACCCTGTGGGACTGGCATCAGTTCCGTCTTAATGTTGTTTCAAGTTCAAGCTCATTAAACAACAACAGAAAATGCTAACTAAAGCTACTATTCATCTTCACTTTGTGCTTTCCAACACCACACTGTCATGTTTAATGAAGAAGGACGGACAGTTATTGTGTGTGTGTGTGTGTGTGTGTGTATGAGATAAGTTTGCTGACATACAAATTTTCAGGAATGCAACTAAGCAGTCTCTATCATCTCAAATACAGATGAGTTTTAAATGCAGCCATATTGGATTTTGTGGGTTTGTGTTGTTGATAAACTCGACTTTCCTACAAGGAATTTCAACCTCAGATGACATTTATGCCCATCTGCAAACTAAAAAAAATGAAAGGCTTAGTGAAGCAGACATTCAAATATCAAGAACGAATTCAAATTATTATTTTTTTGTTTGTCTAAATCAAATATTACATCAAACAAAGTCTGGATGTGATTCTGTTCACACAAAAACACGCATCTTAAATAAATGCCTTCAGGTGACATTAGATTCAACCGACAACATTTTATACTCCAGTTACTGGTCTATTTATTAAACTGTATTAAATATCTTTAAGTAACAATATTTTTCAGCAAAGGTTAAGACAGAATGCAACCGTTTGTAATCGATATTTCCTCTGGTGATGATCCGTCGGCCGGTTGGAGTCCAGAATGTCGAAGTCCAGCTGTTTTCCTTGTTACACATTTGGAAGTGAAGCGCTTAACCTGTTGGTTCGATGTTTCCTCCTCATCCGGAGTACAAATCACCTAAACGCCACAGTGCAGGTGGTTCCAAATACTGTCAGTGACTCAGTGATTATTGACCAAAAACACTGAGTCATTTGTCAAACAACACAGTAAGTGAAGTGAAGCTCTATCAATGAGGAAGAGGAAGCCAAATGCATCGCATCTGTGTTTCCACCTGAACCCAGTGCAGACTTGTGTGTTTTTGGTGCTTTTGCACAGCAGCTAACCGCAAAATATCAAAACTGAGATTAAAAAATAAAAAGTTCTCTGGACTCATCTAGATGTTGCATTTTATGGTCTACGGGTTTCATTTCAACAATCACAGGTTCCGGTTGTCGCTACAGTCGCCAGGCTGAATCATTCGTTTTCTTTTCTTTTTTTTTCTTATTTTGTTTTTATTGTTCTGTTTTGCTCTCTGTTGGGTTTTCACATCTGACACGCTCAAACAGCCGCAGCTGGAAAAGCCACAGCTCATTAACCTGAAACCATTCACTAAAACTCTCTTCTGACCTGCAGCGAAACCTGAAACATGGGTTAAAAAAAACTCCAATTCAACAACATGAGTGGTGTAAGGAGGCAAAACAAAGACAAAACGCAGCAACGGCGTTGGCAGTTTGGTGCATTTGTTTGGTTCAGAACAGATAAGTGAAGCCGTGTCCATGCTCACCGTCTGCCGCTCATACT